ATGGCGTTGGCTGTCGGGCCACCCCTGCCAGCAAGTTCTGTCTTGCCTCCCCACCCAAGAGTTACACCCTGAACGTGAGTGGGAATTTACTAGATATGAATTTCATAATTGACATTGCCAGTGGAAACAGTCTTTTCCTCTGTTGCTGCTGCATTTCTGCTTTAACTCTCCATCCTTCGTGTTTAGAGTGGAGACAACGCTATAGGTCATGGAGTCATTTTTAATGAGAATTTTCATTTAAGATGGCTTGATGGTCATAAATACTTTTATTTTAGGAGTTTCACTACAAAAATTTTTTTTACTCCGTTGTTTTCACATATGTGTGACCCTGGTTTTGCTATTTCAAGATTTCCACATACTTTTATGTCCTTGTTTATTTCAGTTCTACTTCTGTTCTGACTGTATAACTTATCAACTAGGATTAAAATTTAGTGCTGCTCTGAGTAACTGAAGCTATGTTTCAGTTTAGTAATTGGCATGAACTCAGGAAAGCTCAGCTACTGTTTCATTCTCCATTCATAATACAGGAACAACCATCTCTTTAATAAAAAAAAAAGCATAAAGCTTGCAAGTTACCTTTGAAAATAATCACCAAGACTTTAATAAGGTACTATATTTTGTGTAAGTCAAATAGTGGCTATTATCCATATTAATTTTAATTCAAAATTGACAATTCAAACTATTAATAATTATAGTTAAAGAGAGTCTTCTAAATGCTAGTAGAGTTTTCATTTTTTATATTTTCAAGGAAGTTTTTTTTAATTTAGCAACTTTAACTTTATAGTGCTCACAGAATACATAAAAATGTAGGTAATAGTAATTCTTTTAATCGAATTCTCCATAAACAATTCGCAGGGTATATTAAGTTGTTATTTTATAACATAATTGATCCCCAAATTTATTTTATTCATATTTTCTTCTAAGAATATTGGGCCATAAACCTGGGTTCCAAAAGATACTTTTGTGTCATAAAATAACTGAAGAGAGAGGAATTAGATATATGAAATATATTCCTAAATTTTTTAATATATCTAAGTTTCATAGTCCCATGTGCAGAAATGGAGTTCTGTGGTAATAAAGTAATAAAGTTTTCATGCGGCTTTTGTCACCTTGTTTTACTCTTAGCCTGCCTCTTCACTGATGGCAGAAAAATGGAATGTTAAGACTTACAAAATATAATTAGTCCAATCCAGTGATTTTATTTTGGAATTCAAGGTTTACTTCGTCATCTAGTTTATGAATACCATCTAGGTTTTTTCAACTTTCTCACCTTTCCTGGATCTTAGGAGGCCACACACAGTATGAAAAGGGGAAGACCCAACACCTACAGTGGGCAGGAGATGGTAATGAGAAAGAATGCCTCATCTGAGTATTTAATTGATTAGTCTATTGTTGCCATAGTGATTTGATCTTCACTGTCTAGACACAGGGCATCACTTCATGTTGCCTCTCAGGTGACACGTTAGGTAGGACCCAGGGTAGCTTCATTCCTGGCTTTGTAGTATATTGTGGCCAAAATATAAGGTTGTCTACATCTGTCCTGGGAGATCTCTTGGCAAAAGCCACCGCTTTTCCCCTTTACTCACCTTCTGATTCTTCCACTTGGACATATGGGGAGTGTATGGTCCCCTCCAAATGTAGTTGTGACCACCCCATCCCCAAATGGGAGACTGTGGAGGTAAGAAAGTGAGTGTCCACACTGTTCTTTCTTCTCCTTATTCCCTAAATCTATGCCTTTCCCTTGAGTTCCTGCCCTTCCTCACTGTGGGTTCATGGGGCCAAATACAGTAGTGCATTTCCCTCTGTTTGTCCTTAAAACTGTATCCTCCGCTTTTGGTCTGGCGAAGTTCACGTCCTTCAGCTTGGGAGATGGAGGTGAGCGGAAAGCAAAACCTGTAATTCCAAATGTCTTTCATATTCCCCCCCTTTCAATGATCACCTCTTATACTTCTTCTAAACATAATAATCAAAAAGCGTGTTTTCATCCTTCCTTAGTATTTGATAATTGGAATTGTTGCGGCCACAGAACAACATACCACATGTCATTCTGCTACGTCGTGATGTGTGCAAAGACACCAGCATGATCCTGTGGTTCAGATACTTTCTCAATTAGTTCCAAAAAAAAATCTGAATTCCAAAAAAAATCACTGGATTGGACTAATTCTTTTTGTAGAATATAATTGTAGAATCCTTGCCTCCCAGCTCAACCACTTACGAGCTCCATAACTGGAGAAGTTACCAACTTCTCTAAGCCTCATTTAAAATCATGTTTCAAATGCAGTTAATAGAAATGTGTACTTCATGGTGGTGGTGTAACTGAAATAGGACTATCAATTCCTGATTTTTTACAGTGGTACATGGGAGATTTAGAAATTTTCTGTGGAGAAAGTAGTGGAGAAGGAAAGGATATGGGTATTCAGGGAAAGCATTTTATCGGCCTCTTTAAATAGGCCGATCCTAATAGTCCTGGGAACTGAAGTCCTTCTGTCAGTCTCCAACAATCCAGTGGTTGATGCTCTTGTCAGTATTTAGTAGAGTCCCCTAAGCAGTCGGCAGGATATCGCTAATTTCCTCAGTTTTCTAATGTTGGTTAATGATTCAGTCATCTTTGCAGCTAAGATTCATTAAGCACCCCCAAATGCTCCTCGCAAAGGGGAGTATGAAGCCCAGTATAGGCATTGGGCAGTTCTCATGAGTTTTCTCTCTTGTCTAGAAAATAAAACAAGGATATAAATAAACATGCAATGGATAGAACTGATATTCTCTTTTTTTTTCCATGTGTTGTCATAAATGCTTGCTGATTAGTAGTCAATAAAAACCGTTTAATATTAGAAGCAAAGCCCTAGAGTGAAAAGTAATTTTCACAGTTATATGACAAATCTAATAAATTATTATTTTTTCTATTTCATTAGAATATCATCAATTCTACATCTAGCTTAAGAACCTAAATCTTCTAAACTAGATATTTTGTTTGGGGATTAAACCACTGAAAACAATGAAAACTTGAACTAATAACCATTTTGGGGAAGAAAACCTTTTCTCCATTGTATTGATCATTATTTTAAGGGCATTTTGTCTTATGAATTCCTCATTTTCTCTTTTAATCCCTCCCTACTTCATGAAGTTGAATGTCCATAAAGGTGAATATTGGTGGTTACTGTGCTTTCCATGTTAGACATCTGTTCTTTGATTTTTGCTTCAAAGTAACTTACCGCTTCATAGTATAAAGTTACTCTAATTTCCTACCTCCATGCTTTTTAGTTTTCTCTAGAGAAAACCCTTCCAGGGCATGGCCTAATGAATTCTGGTTCAGATTTCCAGATGAATTTGAACCAAAGTGATTCCATAATTTGGTGGAAGGAACCTTCATTAAATACCCTAGCAAGGGAATTTTTACTGTTTCATACCAGACTAAAGTTCGTTTCTTGACATTGAAACTAAACTTCAGCATTTATGAGAATATAAATTGGAACAGCACATTGTAACTGTCTTGAGTCCAGTAGAGACTTAGGTCAAGGGTTTTTATTTTCACTATAACCCCATTAAAAATAGCAGTGTTTCTAATTATTTTTTCTTGAAAAATTAGAAAAATATGTCCTGTACTCTGGAGAGATGTTATCTTCAGTTATTTCTATAACTTATATAGTTGCAGGGGGTATGTCTTTATATTTGGCTTGACCCAAGTGCGAATTCGGTTTTATAGGTGTGGCTCATTAGCCTTCTCTTTTAAAACATGAATATGGGTTCCTAATTGAGAAAGTTAAATTTTGTTTCTCTGCTCTATTCTTGACCTGTCTTCCATTTTTTTATCTCAAAGACTTCTTAACATCACAGTTGCAAGAGAACACTGCTCCATTTTAACTTCAGGACCCCAAGCCACTTACTACTGTTGCTCATACTATAGTTGTTCTGTAAGCATCATTTGAAGTTGAATCTGATATTTTTCTATAGTATTTCTTCTGTACCCCTAAAATGTGGTCGTCAGAGTACAGCTCAACTTGCAAGAGCATGTTGCTCTTGTTGTCTACCATCGCCGCAGGTTTTCTGTAGAGGTACGGCATGATCAAAAAACATCCTGCATTTTGGTGGCTCACTGGCTGAGCTTGCTAACCAGTTCACAGAACCTAGGGGTTTCCTGTCAATTTCAGAATAGGCAATGTACAAACTCATCTGTAAAATTCATCCCGTGTCTTGGTTGTGTATGTCAGCTGCGCTGTTCAAGGGACTCAATGGTAATCCAGAGAAACTGAGTCTTCGCTGTCTGAGGGCGATGGGAACTGCAGAATTCACTGTGGGCTGGAAGACTAGCTTGAATGATCAGGAAACAAGGTAGCCCCAGAGATCAAGAAGTAATCAATCCAACAGCAACTTTTTACAGGAAGAGTCTGGCCAGGACATAGCTCCACTGCTTCCACCATTGTCAGTGAATTCTAGCCATCCCTGCAACTTCCTGTCACTCAGAAATAAAAGTCCCAAACAGTAACGCCCAGTTAGTTGAGGCAATGTCGTCAGCCTACACACAATGGAAGGTTTACCTCCTAAATCAGAAAGAAAATGGATTTCTAAATAGCTGTAGAATTAAAAAAGAAAAATATTCACTTGTTCACTGCATAAAATAAAATCGACTAATTTTTAATTCTGACTATTTTTAAGATTATGATTTTTCTGGGACATGTTGAAGCTAAAGAATATGAACCCTATAACATTATCTGAGTTAGCTTGGAAAAGGAAAATAATATTTCTAATTTCTAATACATAAATTTGAAATAATATCTACTGAATAAGATTATATTGTGATACTATTTATAATACACCCTAATAATGAGTACATTGTGTGCATTCAATTTTTAATGGATTTTTTTCTGCTTAGTCAACTTATTGTATGACTGGTATAATTGTTGTATTTTTAAATTAATATTATTTTGCTGCATAATGGTTCTGTTTACCTATATGCAATTTTAAAATCAATGATACAGTTGATTTGTTTTTTTCCTCAACAGACAGGCTAGCCTCAATGAAGCAGCCGAAAAATATTATGATCTGGCGGCCAGGCTGAGGCCTAATGTAAGTACTTGTCTAATGAGAAACATTTCTCAAAGAAATACATTTGCAACATGTGTAGTTTTAGCCATAGTAGCCTGGGTTTTTTCTTCTGATCGCTTATTCCAAGTACCCAGTAAATGACTAATTCAGCAGTCGCATCTGCCAGCTCAAGCTTCTGTTTTTATGCAGAGGTACAAATTGCTGTTTTCTATCCTGCATAAAGCACCATAAATTTTCATCATTTGAATACAGGTGTTAGCTTTATTAAGTACTTTGCATATGGTTGATTTTTAAAATTAGTTCTTTGAAAGTGTTTTGGTGTTAAATACCTAAGGACTTTGTAAACTTATAGGCATGTTTCGATTCTTAAATATAGTCAAACCTCAAACTGTGTGTCTCTGCCCTATTCCACAATTCTCCTTTATAATAACTGTGCTCTCAAACTTTATCAAGTATGTTTTTATTACAATTTTTCCCTGGGTAGTCACACTTCCACAAAGTAAGATGGATATACGGGAGATCATTACTACTGAAATAGAATAACCATTCGCGAGACAATGAGAACTGGTTTTGTACCAGTCCTCCATGCACTGTTTTATTGCCCACACATCACTGAATGCCGGCGCCTGGCTTTTATGCTCTTACACACGCTGCTCTGCATCGCTCCCCAGCACTGAAATGCTCTACTCTGCTCTCTAGGTCAAGACCATCTATTGAGAAATGTAATTTTGAAACAGTAATGAAAGTGCACGTGTGATGTGACTACCAATAGTGGGATCAGTCTCATTTCTTTACAGCACTCATCCATTGGGCAAACATCTACAGAGTGCTGGCTTTGTGACAGGGTACAAAGATTTCAGACCCTAAAAGACCACACAAGGTAGCAGAGAAGACTGAACATAATCAACTAATTGAAATACAGTGTGGTGATTCTTTTGCAGCGGTATATACAATCCTGGGGGAGCACAGAAAAGGGAGATTAGTCCTCCCTGAGAGCAACCCACACACGAAGTAGCTTTTTTTAGGCAATTCAACCACATGTAACCTTAGCCCCAAATGTAAATGTCCTCAGTTTCATTTATTATGAGGTACAAAAGAATTGGTGAGCTGTTTGCAACAGAAGAAAATAATTGAATAGTTATAATGGGAAGAACAATAACAGCTAAAATTTATTGAACACTTACGACATATCAAACCTTGTGCTGAATACTTCAGGGAAATCCCCTCATTCATGTCTCACAATGACCCACCAATACTGTGTGACCACCCCTCCATTCTGCTGAAGCTCAGAAAAATTAGTAACTCACCCAGTATCACAGCTAATAAGTAGAATCACGTGACCCAGGCCCGTGTGTGTGTGTAAGAGAATGCTTGTTGGGAAAAATGGAGTTATGTCTTAGAAAAGAAATGCAAGCCAGAGGTCTAGGAAACCAAAATAATAGTGGTCCTCTCATTTATTCAGCAAGTATTTACTGAGTACCTACTAAGTGCTGGGCACTGGATGCACAAAAGGGAACAAAACTGATGAGAGTTCCTACCTTTTAGGAGCTTAATAATCTAGTCTGAAGAGATGGAGCAGAAGCAAATAGTGTATCAGACAATGATAAGTGCTTTGGGTAAAAATGGAACAGGAAAAGGGAGTTAGGAGGTTCAGGGGAAGATAAATAGAAGGCAGAGCTTTGTAAATGCCCAAGTTGGGGCAACTTGGAATAGCATTTTAAGAATATGCTGAAATGAAGGCCATAAACTGATTATAATAACTTCATTGAAGATAAGAATCTGGGTTTTTTTGTTTTCCCTTTTTTTTTTTTGCTCTTTACAGTCATATAATGCTCTTAGTATGCATAATAAACAATGATAAGTTCAGCCTTTACTCACTGAGTATCAGTCACTTGAGTGACACTTATTTTTGTTAAGTGGTTGATCAAATGGTCTTCAGCACATTATAATGGATTCGTGAGAAAAGAGCTATATGAGCTCTCTGACCCAACTTTAAAAATGAAAAAGACACTGAGGCACCACAAGATTGAAGCCAGATTTATGAGATTGTTTATTTTAAATGACCGGCCAAATCATAAAATCAATATTTAATCTCCAACTCAAAGCCATTTTTTTCTAAAACCCCCAAAACTTTCTTCATAAATGTGCTACAGACTGCTTTTGAAAAGTGTATTTATTCAAATGGTATTTCCCTTATCTAGTAACAATAAATTAACTATTTTATGGACTTAGATAAAATTCAAAGTGCATACTTAGCAGTAAGTAGAAGATTTAACAATAAGTAGAAATTGTGGATCAAAAGATGTGGTCTTTCCTAATCTGTTTTATGAGTTTGGTTTGGTTTTCTGGATGTGATCTAGGTAAGTAAAATGCTGTCACCAAAGCAAAATGGATAAAATACAAACACTGGCAGTAACAAAAGTTTCTGTTCTGAAATGAAGAGACCTATTTTAATCTGTAGCCCATGTAATGATTTACTAACAGTTAGCATCTGATCTAAATTAAAGAATCCATCTAACATTTATCTTGCTCATAGCTGTTTGTTCCCTTTGTCATAAAAACATTCTGTTATTTCTATGCTTTAACTTAATACATTTTAGTTGGCAGCATATATGAGAACATAGTAAACAGACCTCACTTCCCACTCCCTGTTTAAGAAGTTTTACTGCATTTTCTTTTTATTGTCTACGTGGTCATCTAATCTTACTCTTATTTTTCATAAAGCATTTTCTTCTATTGTTTCAAGTCCAGCTACAACAATCCATAGCGGTATGTGGGGCACTCTGAGTGTTTTAACAATGCTCAGGTCAGATGACTATACAAAGTAAAATATGTGGCTGCAAACCTTGTGTGCCACCACTTATTATTGTCAGGTGAGAGATTGTCAGTTATCTATGGGATGTGTTTCTCTCTTATAAAATACCTACTCCATTTTTTCAGTATATCCCATAATGAGTCTCTTAATTTTTCTATTCTTCAAAAGCCATTTTTTCGGTCCAGTTTACTTTAAAATTGTTAATTGCCTTTTTGGATTATTTTATATACAAGAATTCCAGTGATCAAATGCAAAAATAATGAAATCTAAATTAGCGGGCATATATAATTTTAAGTTTTAGATTTGTATATTCTCTCTTCATCAGAGCATTCAGTACATTGCCATTTACTGAAGTGCACAAATATATTTATTATAAAAAAATGGCACCGTTAAAAATTGTAATCCTATTTGATTTTTTAGGTCAGGGGAATTCCTCTAAAACGAATAAAACGTTACAGCACATTTCCAAATGGGACAACAACTCTTTACCAAAATTACCATTTTACATTTTTCCACTTTGTTTTTCATTTTTGTAAATAAGACTGATCTTTCTGTGAAGGTTACTTTAAAAAAATAACACTCTCCTCTGTCATCTTCTCCCATTAATGCGCATCAAAAAATGCTGACTCTTTAAGACTAGAAAGGATATATAAATGAAACCGTTCCATTCCTCCTGTGGGCATTAAGCCAAATTCTACATTAACTTATGGACTTTTTTTTTTTAATATGAGGAGTGAGGAATTTTGCATACTACAAAGTCCCCCACTTGTATTTGGCTTTTAGGAAATTACTAGAGTTTGAAAGGAATAATTTATAATGATTGAGTCTATGTATTTTGTATTTTTCTAGATGCAATTGTCTTTAGGTTGAATTTACTCAAGTTTTTCTTACTCATGTTCCAGCTTATGTAAGACTCTGTGCCAAATGTGGTAGGATTTCAAAGTTATGAAAAATTAACCCTGACCTTGAGCAATGTGCTATCAAGTGTGGAGAAGGAAAGGAAGAGAGAACACCGGGACGCAGGTCCTCACACCTCAGGGCAGCAAGTGATGCTGTTTAATCAGTGCACCTTCAGCCGGACTGATGCCGGCGGGTACTGAGAGTTGGCAAGCTGAAAAGTCCTGCAATAGTGGAATATTTATAGCTGAAAATTTTAGCAGGAGGAAGAGAAAAGAGAGAATTCTGGCAGGAAGAAGCATATGCAGAAACAAGGGCATGCGGCTAGGAAGCATGAACTATGCCCAAGAAATAGTAAGCAGGTGTGGTTTATATCACCAGGGGCAGGGGCTCAAGAGGAAGAGTAAGGGAAGGTAGAACTAGAAACTCAGATTAAGTCAGATGAAAGGCTTTGGAAACCGTGCTAACAATGAGGAGTCTGTATTTCAGAATTGTGGTAAGCATGATGATATAATCAAAGTGGTCATTTAAGATGGTCATTTATATTAGAAGTACATCTTGCATTTGGGAAAGTAGAGATGAGAGATGCAGCCTTGGGTAAAACAAAAGGTCACTGCAACAGTGTAGGCAGAAGGTGTCATAGATCCTAAAATACAAAACACGGTAGAATGGAAAAGACACTCATGCCAAGGAAACAAACAGATTATTTGGTAGGATGTGAGCAGGAAAATTGGCTCAGTGAGTGTTCCAAAACTTTGAATTTAAGTAACTTGGGACAGAAAGAAATATTCTGCCTTAGAAATAGGGCAGTCAGAGGGGTGTGTTGATTTCATTAAGAAAGTGTTAAGTTTGGTCCACATAGATTCTGATGATACAGCATGTTGTAATTCTCTATAGGACACCCCCATCAACTGGGTGTAGGAGAAAAGGCCATAGGCAGGGACAGAAATGTGGCAGTCAATTGCAGGGGATAATACCAAAGGAGTGGATAAGATCACCCAGGGAGAGATGAAGAGAGGGAAGAGAGAGAATCCCAAGCCCCTGGGCATCTTTTCATTTGGAATATAGGCTAAGGAAGATATGAGACAATGGCAGGACAGAGAAATTTTAGGGAGCAGTTTCCACGGCTGCTCAAAGGTAAAGAAAAACAAGGACGGGGAAAGCCCATTGACTTCTGACAGTAAAACAACCCTGTTGACCTTCAGGAGTGCCGTGTGCTGTAAGTGACGTGAGCAGAAATTGTGAAGGTGTTAAGGAAATGGAGAATTGAGGGCAGAGCGCATAAAATTATTTTGTAAATATGTTTGGA